ACCACAATTCCGTGTCCAATTGTTAAGCATATATTGGCCATATCGCAAAATATCCCTTAAAGTGGTAGCATATTTCTCAGTAACTGTTAACGCAATTTCATCCGCATATGCAACTGTCCCGTAGCCCGCTCTCCTCAGCAGTTCATTCACCACTATATTCAAGAGAAGGGGTGAGAGTACGCCTCCTTGGGGGTACCTCTATTTTCCCGTCTGTGTGCTGCTGATACACCCCTTTATGCTTCAATTTTTCTGCCAGTTAATAACTGGCCGATAAAGCTGATGAAAGCATCCTCATCACCCGGACGAGAGAGTGCGCTTGCTATTACACCGGGAAAAATTTCGTTAAAAGCTCCTTAAAGTTGAAAAATTTTTTAGTAGTAAAAGTGAGGGCATGGAGTGCTGTCTTCGTAGATTTACCCTTAGTGTAGGCGTTTTGTGTCGGAGACCAAAGATTGGGATTTATAGTCTATAATTCTTTCTAGAGCTTTCAGCATGAAAGATGAAAGGCTAATTGGACGGAGTTCATTTGGGTTACTATGAGAGGTTTTACCCGCCTTAGAGATAGAAACAAATCTAACCATTCTTCAGTGAGTTGGAACATGATTAAAAATGAGACAGTATTTAAAAATGGCCAGAAGCCGGTTGTGTATTTGTTCACAAGACTTCTAAAGCTCAATAGGATGTATACCATCCGGTCCCGGTGATTTGTAGGGCCTAAAGCTAAAAATTGCCCATTTCAGAGTTTGTAGGTTTAACTTGGAGTTTACCGATATGTAGTTTAAACATTCTGAGGGTTTGACCAAGTTCCTTCCGGTTTCCTTAGATAAACAGTGGATTTTTAGATAGGATTTTGCGTAGTGTAGAGGTTTCAAAATCTCTGCTAATCTCTTGACAATATGATTGCCAACTAGTCCTCTTAGACTTATGTAATTCTTTTCTGCAGAGAGATGTTGTATTCGGATCAGTCAGTCTCAGTGCCCTATTAAAAATTCTCCTGCATTCTTTCCTCAAGTGTTCTAAGCTTCTATTCCACCAAGGTGGGTTACACTACCTACTAGATCGAGTAGAAGGACAGGCAAGGTTAAAAGCTTCATTAAGTATTGAGGTAAGATCTCACACCTGCTTATCCAGATCATTTATATTCTCTGGGGGTAAAGAGCTGTATTTGTCAACAGCTCATTTACAGATGATTCGTACTTTGACCAGTTTGTATTCTTGATATTTCTGAAAGTTTCTAAACTGGGGATATTTGATACCTTTATGTTAAGACTATAAGAAGATTCTAAAATCATAAAGTCTAAAAAAGAGTGCCTAGTGGACATTTTCCATTTTTTGATAGACCCATGAATTTTGTGCAGTAGTCACGGTGATATCTAGAACCTCCTGCCTGTTTTTGGTAAGATTATGTTTAATTAAAAAAAACATAATTAATTCATACAAGCTTTTAATAATGTGCTTTTACCTTTGGTAAGAGGAAACCATTCGATTTCTTGCAGTTTGGCTGTTGCTTAACTTAGATTTTTTGTATTGCCGCTCCATAGTTCTGAATTTCGATTTCACCTACGAACAATGTAATTAAATGATCTATAATTTAAACTTTATGTTTGTAATAGTAATATACTTGAGTTGGATTAAAGGAGTAGCCTACTTCGCTCATTCATGTGAAAATAAATTTCCATATCAAGGCTTTACTCCTCAACTTACGGTATTTTCCAACCATTTTTATGCTCATGGATATTAAAGATAACAAGTCTTTGGTGGAATTGTGTGTCCATGTGTATGTGTATGTGCTTCTATATTTTCCTGGACACTGAATACTAATTCATCATATAATTCGTTAAATAATTGCAATTTGCAATATGTAAATACAATTTCTTTCCGTTTTGCCATTGCAGAGACGTTTTTGGTAAACACGAAACAATTTTTCTTCCATTTCCCTCCATATCGTCTGTAATATGTTAATAACATAAAATAAAATTTATAATAAATTTTTGTAACAAAAGCACTCCAACTCACTTTATTAAAATAAAATATATTTTACTTGTTATTTTTCAACTTTTACTTCTACTGTTTTCTTTTTCAAAAAACAGCTGTTCTTATTAGATTTCACACAAAGCTGTTCCATGAAAATCTGTGTAAAGAGCATAATTTGGCACTTTATTTGTATTACACTTTTAGTTTGTACTTTACTTGTGTTTTACTCGAGTTTTACTATAAGTAGCTGGTGGAAATGACCTAGTACATTCTTGAAATGTTCTTCGCAATATTCTTACATTCTGTTACGCTGGAAACTGTCTTCTTTTTTTGCTCATTGATATTGTAACGTCGACATAAGTACAATGAAGTATGATAAAGCCAATAAAAATACAATATTAGAATTGATTCAATTTATTATTAATTTTAACACCAATAAATGTCGCCATTATTCCAGAATGTTCTGACTTTCTTTCTGTGAACATATGAAATGGACCACCGTATTGACTTATGATGCTCTAACAACACACTCTACTTCTCAACCGTCCACGGTGAATGGCGTTTTTTGTTATCACTCCTGTCAATTAAATTAGATTAAATATATATTTATATATATATATGCAGGTAAAGTAGTGTAGTAGAATAGATAAGGTAATGAAAAGAAAGCAAAGACTAGAAAAGAAAAAGATAAGAACAAAAGAAAAAGATAAGGATAGAAGAAAAAGTAAAGTTGAGCAAGAGTTTCTTGCATGAAAACAATAAAAATATCAAAAATAAAGTAGGACAATAGACAATTAAGTAAAGTTGTATATCATAGAAATTTTTATAAAAATAAGTCTTTAATAAGTTGAATATAAATTTGAAAAAATGATAAAAAGCATTGATAAAAAATATTACGTTCTTTTTTTGGATTAACCACATATTTCCACAATTTCTCTGTTAAGGTAGAATTTAAGCATTAATTTAAAATATAAATAAATTATTTCACATTGCTAAATTGTGTCATTCAATTTATATTTTAAGCAATTTAGCAATTGTGAAATAATTTATTTTGAATATTTATGTTAAGCTGAGGCAACAACTTAACTCGAGCAACTGTGAAATATGCAACGTTGCATTATGCAATTTAACATTAGCTGTGTTTCAGCAAACATGATCCGCTCAATTTTACATGCAAAACAAAAACAATGGGGTGAACCAGCAATTGATCTGGTTCACTTTCTGGTTCAATGTGGAATGTATGTAAAAGATAAAAGTGGAACGTATTTTAAAGCAAATGAGGTTGGCAATGCGATGCAACAGTGTAGTAAAATTATAAACAAATCTACATTTATATTTATTTATTATTGATTTTATTTATTTATTATTTATTTTATGTACTTATTTATTTAATATGACATTATTATTTATTTCCTTGTTTGAAGTAATGTTTTAATTATTACTATTACTATAAATTAAAATGATTAAAATTAATTAAAATGATTAAAATTAATTAAAATTATTACTTTAATTATTTACGTTTTATTATTATTAAAAAAGTGTTGTTTGATAATTTATGAAAATCAATTAATTTGAAATGAATATATAAACATTAAGTTGAATACATTTATTTAATTAAAACAGAACAATACATAAGGAAACAGGCTCTCCAACATACACGTTTATAAAAAAACCATTGCAAACTGCTTGCAAGTTTAAGCTATATTCATGCTTCCTTTTGAAATAAGCCTAATTGCTTTGGTGAGGTGCATTTATTTTAACATGTGTGCTGTCAATCACGAACGGAAATTTTGCAATTGATATAAGCTAAACACTAGTTCTTTCAATTATTCTCCATACAGAAGCTTTTGGTATGCCAAAATAAATACCAAATTCGCGAAGAGTATTTATATTTGCCATATACCACAAAAATATGTAAATTTCCATCATTGCTCTCGTTCAATTGTGACCACCACGGTTATTTTGTATTTGCTGATTGGAATTTATAAACAAATCTATTCAATTATAAAATATAATTAATAAATAGCAATTGTATTTTTATTTGTATAAATAATTAGTAGTACATCTTTAAAGTCTAAAGTTTTTCCTGAAGTCTTCAATGGAAAAATTATTGATCGTTTCCATAAAATTTCCACTATATCCATGCTAATGCACTTCATCCCTTGAGCTTAATACACTTGGACTAGTGTTTAAAAAGAAAATGGAGGAGTCAGTTTTGCTCGATAATTCTAATAAAATCTATAATTTCCATTTATTTACTATAAATCTATATTTACTATAAATTTAAATTTTTAAGTAAATACTAAATAAAAACTTACATTTCGTACTTCAGACATTTCAACAGATTTTATTTATTTTCCAAGTTTTAGATTTTTTGTATTCAAAATTTTCTCACTTATTTTTTAACGCCAAAATTAT